AAAGGGCCAATTCCACACAGATTCTATAGCCAAACTTCTATAGCCCAAATCTGACTTGTATTTTGGCACTTAAATGTCAGGCAAGGCACTAAAGCTCTGAAWAAGTAGTTAGTGTGTTTGTATTTTGCTTTGACTTCTCCTCATTTCTCATACAGAGTTGTGTGTTGCATATGTCCAGTCCCTCAGACCATGCTGCTTTTCTTTTTCATTTTTTCCTCTTACTGCCATCCCCTGGGAAGTCTCAAATTCAAGGCTGAAGGAGACTGGAAGCCAACTTCTGCTCTCAGGGTTAAATCTGGAAATCATTCCCCTAGCTTCAAATTTATGCTGGTGCAATGAAGATGAGAATTTAGCTTTCTRTGCTGTTGTCAACAGGGGGAAAATAGAGTCCCTATAAGGCTGTATCCATGGAAACCGTCCTGCTGCAATAGCGGGTAAAGCAGCAAATCAATTTCTTCAGTTTTAAAATGAAACACATTACAGTGCATCTGGCATTTAAGAGATTATCTGTGCTGATAACTGTGYGGAAAAACCCTCCTCTAGCTAGTACACTGGCAAGAACATTTCTTCCTCCTGATAGAATTCTGATTTTGGGTAGAATGAGCAYTGATGACAAAGTACCACGAAGACAGCACAGTGAGACAGAGCCAAGTCCAGAAGCAACAGCATTTAATGAACGAGAAAATCGTTTAATTTAGCATTTAACCCAAGTATCTGRGTACATGGTGACTAACATTCAAATATATTAGCAGAGGCAGTGACCTGTCACCTCTGTCTCCCTGCTCTTTGCTTCCATGGTACCACGTGTGACAAATAGTATATTTGTATTTGGATGGGGGTGTGTGTGTGTGTGTCTGTGTGTGTGCTTGGCCTCTAGGCTGTCAGATGAGATTTCAATATTCATTGCAGCATGGTCTGGGCAACTGACTTTATACAGGTGTATGTTTCAGAGCCAGAGGCATTTCCAGCGCAGAAAATGTGCTGGCTGTCTCTGGTCTTTATTCCTGTTACGTTTCATCATGTGCGACTTGAGAGACTATCCCTTTACTCTGCCATGGAGGGAGCATGGAAATATGAGGATTTCTTACACCAGACTTTCAGTGCTACTATACACTTTCCCTGCTGTGTACACAGAGGTTTTGCCTTTATATTTTCACCTGTTAAGGTATCTCTCTGAGAGATACCTTTCTGAGAAATAATACCCTACTTGATCAGAAAATTGCCTATATGCAGATGAGGCTCCATTYTGCTTTCCCYTTTAGTCAAATCCAGATATTGCAGWCTGCCTTCTCTRTGCCTATCAGAYARAGAAACTATCTRTCTGGGAGAAATACAATCTTATTKAAGAGAGAGGGAGAGAATTGAACCAGGAGGGAATAAAATTGAACCAGGAGGGAATAAAAAGCATTACAGGAAATGCCTGGACTGTGAGCAACCCTTCATTGGTAAGGATCACATACAAATTCCTCTGTCACTTTGCAGTGCCTAGGCTGTATTTTATCTGCTTCTGAATCTCAGTTCCTTGATAACAGCAATCACATATGCAATATTGTTTTCTTTTATCTACAGCTGCCCTATCTATTATAGCAATCCCTGTTTGATTGACAGTTATGTATTTTTTTCTGACCTGAGGGCAAGCTTATTGCAATGCACTCCTTTCAGGGCTATCRCTGAAACACATCCAAAATCCTCAACTAGTGCATAATGTGGCACTTCAGCATTTGAATGAAGTGAGCACATATTGTTGGGGGCACACATAGGTTTTGTTGCTGTGCCACRTGTACCAGTTAATGGAAGATGCAGTTCAAACCCCATTAAGTGGTAGAAATGGCTGAGTGGTCTGAAATGCTGTTGTTTGCAAAAAGTGTTTTGTTCTACATGTGTCCAATTGCTATGAGCATTGAATATTGTTTGGTCAGTTCCAAAGTCTTTAAGAGTCAGCAGAGATCCCCCAATGAACTGCTTGAGGACTGTGCTTCCTTTTTGAAGATGAAGTTTCCTGCTGAAAAATGTCTGGTTTAAAATCACAAACTTCTGTAGCTTGTTTTCTATGATTCATGACAGCACAGGTCTAGGAATCCTCCCTATATGCAGGTTGGACTGCATTCACTTCCTWATTCCTAACCTTTACATACTGAAGAATGAAAATTATACTTTTCATTGATTTTTTTATTCATAATACCCACTTTCTATATAAGCCTTCCATATTCCCATGTGAGGATGCCTAGGGCTCCTTTACAGTCACCAGGTTTCAATTTCCTGGTGAGCTCAGATAGGAGGCATTTGCAGATTTCTTTCTTAAAGGCCAGGAAAGGGAGAAATGGAAGAGGAGCTGTGACTGGCATTTCTTGYACCATTCTTCATCACAGTCCTGTGTCTGTGTTCATCAGGATAGCAAGGCCCAAGGGACCAGACAGAGGAACCCTGCACACTCTTTGGAGCTGAGAGGATGRGCTTGCTTGTTACTGAGGGTCCTGGGACATGCTGAGATGGGCTGACAAAACCTGGAGATTTTAATGGCTTTTGATAAGGGCTTTTCCTCTACTCTGTGACAAATTGCAAGAAAGGTGACCTTCTTCCCATCCTCTTCAGGCCAGACCTGGGAGTCCAGGGCAGGATGGGGGCTGCATTTGTTCTGAGAGTCACCTCTGGATCTGTCACTCATCTCACAGCTTCCAAGTGTGGCATTTTACAGCATTCTTCACGTATTAGCTCTTGCAATTTGCACAGTCATGTCCAGCGTAGGAGTGATTTTTGGTGCTGTCTGTCTCCATGGATTCCGAGGGGACACGGTGTTTGTACGTTGCCTCTCTTACAATGCCACCCCCGTGATTAAGGCAAAGCTCCTGAGTCATCTTCACAAAGATGTAAAATTTCCGGCAAACCTGTAGGCCATCTGTTAATGTGGGCAGGCAAGAAAATATCGGGTAGGAAAACTCAGTCACATGCCAGTCTTTGTACCTGTCCCCACAGCCAGTTCGTTTAAATGACATTTTAACTCTTGTCTAAATTCTTTTTCTATAAAAAAACTGTAGCAAATGGCAACTCTGCTGTTAAATGACTCCTTACAATGAGCCCAGTACTTAAAGTCACTTYAAAAATATGTAAATCCCCTCTATATTCTAAAATTGCATTCATTTTACTGTTTGAGAAACCTTTATCAGAAATCAGTCATTCCCTCTTGGAAAAAAAGCTTGAATTGTCTTTTTTTCTGGGTCTCAGATGAAAGTGTAACATGGTCACATTCCTGCCATGGCAGGTATTATCAGTGCTGGCACGTGGTGGCACACAGCAGCTGCCACTTGATACAATGCAAAGAATGTGCCCCAAGTCCAGCAATGTCTACTTGTGTTATATCATGTTCAGTGTAAACATAGTCTGTCACCACTCTAGTCATACAGCTAGGGCTCTCTTCTCTGTTTCTATCAGAAAGCCACTCCTCAAAATTAGAATCCCTTTACATTGCTAGCCTGCGAAGTCAGGGATATTCTTAGCAGTTWCCCTGTGGATTAATACTCACAGCAAAATAAAAACATCAGGCCAATGTGTACATTGATATGTCCTTCTACCCCAAGAAGCTGTGCCTAGTCCTGGTTCCATACATATACTAGCTGTAATCACAAACCTTGCCTCATCTGTACTCAKTTATTCATTTCAGAAATACATAAAAGAGAAGTATTTCTCAGGATTATGGTGTGTCCTTGGATGGCAAGTTCTGCTAAAAAGTCTGGTGACACAAGAAGGAGACTTGTTAACCAGCAGAACCCCCACAAATGCAGCATTGTTTACAACAAAAATTGGGAAAAAAATKATCACTCCTTTCAGCTGAGAAAGACCTAATTTACTGATGAACAGATTATAACTAAATAATGTATTAATAAAGACTGACAGTCTTTGGCCCCTAATTTCATGTAGACCCCTGAAAAATATCCCTCTCTGCAATGGGAGTGGGCAAGGTCATTTTCACAATGATATAAATAGAAAAGTGGGTGGCTGAATCTACCCARACTTAAAAATGTAAGGGTGTTCTTGCCTCATGCAGAGAGAAACACTGTCCTTTTTAGTTTGTGCTGCCTGGGAAGCCTTTAGAGATGAGCAGAAAGAGTCACACYGCTGTGAGCAGCAAAAGCCAGAAAAATGTTKTRTTCYCTGTATCCTTCTGTTCAACAGTGARCTGTTCCTWAATTCTCTGTCCTGGCCTTTGCTGCAGCCTCCTCTTTGTCTTCCATCACCTCCAAARGGGCCTTCTCACAAGCCAAGGCTGGGCAGAGTCCAGCCAATCTGTCAGATTTGGCAGGGCACATGATAAAGAATTTACACAAGTTTCATACTTCTGCGACTAATTCCTCTAGCAGCTGGAGGACAGAGGATTTCCCAGCTGGCACAGAGTCAGAACTCTCTGTACAGGTAGTACCTACTGTGCCCTAAAGCCTCATGTGACAGACAAACCTGAACCAGCACAATCACTGTGTGCTTCATCAGCTGTTTCTGGTTTGCAGCAAAGGTGTTTCTTATGTCATGGGACAGGTTCTGGATCTCCCTATGCCATGTGAGTGTGGCTGAAGGATTTTCAAACACTTGCAGAGCAGCACAGACCCTGTAATCCCTCTCTTGGGAAGCCTGACAAGCCTTGCATCTGTAGTGTGCCTTGGCTTCAGCTCTTGCTCTGCCGCAACACAGTTTGGGCAGAGAACCAACTGCACCTTCTGAAGAAAGGAGCACCATCCTTTGGGTGCAGTTAGGAGCTGCAGCACAGTACTGCAGCCTTTCCTTCGGGCTGGAGGGCACACCACATGTGCAGCTGCAGGACAGGGCACGTCTGAGCTGTGATTTAACATTGCAGATCCCTGGCTTTCTCATGCGACCCCCTGCATAAATGACAGACCCTGAATACCTCACACTCGGCTGTTTTAAGTGTCCCTCTGTGAAAAGGGAACGGGTGTTATTGTTTCACATTTAATTTCACCCTTCCTGTGAGCACTCACCTTCTCCATGCAGGTGTGTTACTGGTGGCTCCTGGCTGTCACTGCTGTATCCAGGGCTGCTGCCTCTAGGAGAGGGGACAGAGCACTCCCTCCAGCCAGGCCATGGCAGGGGGTCTCTGCATAGTTCCAGGGCCCTGGGCTGCACTKCTTGGCCTCCTCAGGGTGCAGCGAGTCAGAGAGAGAGACAGCCGTGCTGTGTGAGGCTTGTGAGAAGGTACCAGCTACATCTGGGCAGACAGAGTTAAAGAGAGGTAAAAATGTTGGTCTACTAAGAGATGTCTCTGGGCCATAGTCACTTGGACTGAGACCAAAGTCTTKTAAATAGGAGAGTGCTTGATTATTAAGCTGGGCATATTCAAAATTTATCTTGCTTCTAGTAACATCATCTAGGATTTTTGCTCTACTTTTCTGATCTTCAGAGCAAATTTGCTCCACATTTTGCTTCAACTGATAGAGGTTGTTAGATTGGAAACTTGGCTCATAGTGGTATTGGTTTGTGCTATGAATACTGGGATATTCTGGATTTTGAGCAACATGRTTGCATTCATTTTGCAACAATAACTTGTTTTTGTACTGAGACATCTTATGAATAATACTGTTCATTTCATTCCCGATGCATTTGTCCTCCAGGTGCTTGTTKTCATAGCTGATTTTTAATGATGCCACCTGTGTTACACAGTGCTCTAAGAGCTGCACTATGTTAGTGCTGCTCTCTGTTGGTGTGGGGCTAATGCAGCTCTGGAAGTGACTGAAGGTTAGAGGCTGTGGTGGCTTGTCACAGGAAAYAGAGAGAGAGTGATACATGGGTTTATTTCTGTCTTCCCTCTCAAGGGGATCTCGGAGTGAGGTCGCAGCAGTCTTGTAGGAGTAACATGATTCTACTTCGTGATTATCATCTAATGAAGGATTTTCTGAACTCTGGAAGCCACTCTCTCTGTACAGCTTTTCTGGCAGTAGGTTTCTATCTCCAGATGTCTCACATCCCAGTGAAATTGCAACCTTCTCATTCTCAATTGTCTGCAGATTGTTAGCCTGTGTTTGTGKTGCATAACTTGATGATACGGTGGTTTCCACTGTCCCAGGTGCTGTAGATAAATCCTGGTGGTGACTCCCCTCTCTTCTTTGGGAATCCGGGTTAGTTGTGTTCAGGCAGGAGTCTAGGCTCTGATCTCTTCCAGCAGTGTTTACTGAAGAGGCCTGGACTGTGTGTTTGCTTTCCTCCAAAGGCCCACATACATTAAGTGTATTAGATTCTTGTTTGCCTGGTGTCTCCTGCTGACCTTCTGTGCTCCCTTCCTGCTCCGGACTGTGACTGGSCAGGATCAATGAATCATTGGACTTTTCTGGCTGTGATTGAGGACTCTGAAGAGAGTCAGGGGAGGAGATGAGTCCTGAGTGTTTTCGTAGCCAGTTTATTATCCCCATGGTAAGTGAAAGCTCAGTATCACAGAGCTTTAGCAGGCATTCTTTGCCTTTCCATGTGCTGTGGAAAAAACCCTGGCTGATGATGTCTAGAGTTGGTTGGGAAGCCATGTTCTCCTCAGCTCCAACATGAAAGCTGTAAATGGATAAAGGGATTTCAATGGCTTGCTCTGAAACACTTTCAGATGCACAAAGGTCATCATCAAGGATAGGGTTTACTTTGACTTCATTTGGATCATAGAAAAGCTCATAAAGGGCATCTCCACTGTAACTGTCTCTTGGAAATCTACCTGGGATGCCAGGGGTCTGAGCTTCCTTCAGTTCATCATCTTGTCCMGGAGAGAAGGAATCATAGTAGCCTTCATCACTTGTGGATGTGGATTCCTGATTTTCACTTTTTGGTGTTTCTGTTTCCATGGAGCCATCTTTGGAGTTGTCACCTTCTTTATCAGGTGACACTTGGGGGTCAGTGACCACTACAGCAGCCTGACTTCTATCCTTTTCTATGTCAGAACCAGGTATCTTCAGCAACTTCTTTTCAAACAGAGCACTCTGATGTAGCCTCACTGATTTGTTGATGTTGTCCCAAAACTTTGCGAATTCCACAGTCTCATTCTGTCCAGGAGAAGCCAACTGCTCCACCCCGCCTTGGAAAGAGCCCATGACAGGGCTGTCTTTGTGTTTGCTTCGCCTCAGCAGAAGKTCTTTGCTGTTCTCCAGCTCCAGGTGAGCAGAGGTCTCATCAGCAAAGATTTCCCCACAGCCCGTGAGGGAGTCAAAGCTCTTCAGTGAGGCAACATCTTCACACAGGGCATTGCAGTAGTCATAGGAAGAGTCAGACTGCAGTTCACTGTCTGAGCAGTCCTGCGACAAGCAATCAGCTGCACAAGTTTCTCCAGTTTTGAAAAGATACTTCATAAGACGTCCAGAMAACTCACTCTTGCAGCCTGGAGAGGACAGGTTCTTGTCCTTCTCAACCAGAAATGTGAGGCTGTCTGGTTTATTTTTCCTTATATGAAATATATCTCTGAGCCCTTTCTTAGATCTCTTGAGGGAAATCCTCTTCCTGGGAATGGTTTTTGCGACAGCTGGTACAAAAGGCATCTGTGGCACAAAGTTCCTGTAATCAATCATCTGACTGCTGCATGCAGACTGGCTGGGGCTGACCACACACTCCTTCTTACTGCTGGAGCTGGACATCCCTGAAAAGCTGATGCTATTGACAAGTCTGCCCTTGCCCTTTGCAGGAAAACCTTCCTCACAAGCCCTGCTGCTAGGGCTGCAGTGCTCTGTTTTGTCCGCCTCAGTAACACAGTCATGGGTTTTACTCTTCCTTACGAGCTTGTAGGAGGTGCCAGATGATTTTTCCAGGTTGTGGTCACCAGCTCCACTCCTTGCTGCTCTGGTAGCAAATCTGTAGTTCTTGTGCGTGGCCAAACAAGCCAGCTGGATTTCAGCTACACTTTGGTTTCCCTCCAGAGCTGCTTTTTTGTCTTTCCCCATCTCATCTTTGTTGGTAGGAGTTGTATGCACTGGTGGCACTTTCTCATGTTGCACGCTGGATTTTATGAAGGTCTTTCCTCTCTTGAGCTCCATGCTGCTTCCTTACATCTATTTCTATAAAAAGAGAGCACACAACTATTGTGAGGTTGGTGGGTAGCACCTGTAAATTTTGAAAGCAACTGGAGAACAAAGGAAGGGATATTAAGCATTATAAAATTGATCTTGTCTGTCACCAGAAGTTTCCATTACAGAGTCATGGTACTGCATGAGAAACAGATTGAGTGAAACTAAAGGTGTGTTGGCTGGAAGATCCAGCAAGGAGAAAAAAGGGCACATTATGGGTTGAGGCCACATAGCTGAGGCTCAGAGAACATTTTGTCTGTTAGAAATAAATGGATTTGGATTGAGGATTACAACTTCAGGATGGCTTTTAACAAGGTAGTTAAAGTGAAGTCCTATTCTGAAGGTAGAAGAGACATCAATGAAAAGCAATGCCTGAGAAACTTGAACATGTAAATGTGGGCATCAGGGAGGCAGCAGATCATAGTTCTGAACCTTAGAGGAGTACAAAGATCTCAGGGTTGGAAATCTCCTGAGAAAATAGATCAAACTTTTGACACACACTCACTTTATATCAAAATAATCCTKATCTGTGAATAGAATATCCATAAAMCTTGGTACTTTCCTGGAAGCATGCTGAAACTGAATTACTGGGTTTGCTTCCCCCTGAGCATAATGTATCATTTTGCTACTGTAACACTGCTACTTTTGTTGTTGAAAATCAAAAATGCAATATTGAAAATCACTCTTAGTTATGACAAAAGTATCATCTCTAATTTATAAAGACCAGTGCAGCACACACGAAGCATTGGCACATTGAATCTGCACTGTGCATTGATTAGCTATTTCTAAAAATATCCTAGTACCTGTATGAATGCCAGCTCCAGGCTCTGCCTATAGTTTTATGTTTCCATAAATCTAATTAGTCATTAATTATTTTAGCCATGTCACTATTAGTTTTCCAGCAATTATTTCATAGAAACATCTGATCCTTTCCTGTCTTGCATCAACTTGAATATTGAGTAAGGAAATGGAGTTACATAAAGGTAAGTAAGGGATGAAGCAACCACTTCCCTTCCTAAAAGCTGTTAGAGCAATAACATTTTCACTTGATGAGAAGCAGCACAATAATTCCAAGTGCTGGTCTTGAAAGAGCGTGCTTGGATCTCTCCTTAATGAAASGTCATTTAATGATTTATCTTGTTTTGAATTGGTTAGACATAACTAAACAATTGGAGACACTGTACAGGAGATTTTAAATTCAGCACYAAGCCTAGCCTTTGTACTCCTAAAAGAGAACTTCAAGCAGTCTTCAGTCTATCTTGACCTCTAACAGCTTTCTGTAGCCTCCCGAGGCTTTACAGTTGCCAGGCCTTGCTGGWACAGCCACACTGACTCACAAGATGTGGGTCTGTGTATTTGGGAGCACTTCTCCAGCAGGCAGATCAGTGACAGCCCCTTTCTCATAGAAGCTGAAAACTAGCAGGTGATTAGCAATATTTACAGCTAAATGTAGGTCAGTGACAAAAGGCAGAGAACATAAGGGCAAAGTGTGAATATTTGACATGCTGTGGAAAGCGTGGTTGGTAATGATAGATGGGCGTCTATCAGTGTGCTTGAGATGCTGGCACATTTATTTGCACTTGGCACTACATGTGACTGTTACAGAACATTCTTAATGAAAGCCAGTAAACATTTCACTAYGCTGTCAGGTATCTGGAGTTCACTGATTCTGCGGGAAACTTGTTTTGCATATTTAGAAATAGGTCACTGGGACGCGATTACATTCCTCTTCTGAAAAGCAAGGTGTGATCGACAAGCAATTCAGTGTGCACAGCTCCAGCAGAGTTGTGAAAACAATCAGAAACAGCKGATGCAAGACCAGTTATTAATATCCCAGAAATAAAGTGTCTGACATCTCAGTCCTYTGCAAGTGTAGAAGTAGGTACTGTGTCCCTGTGGGAAGCTCCTGATGCTGCTGAGAAGCTCCTTAGAGGTCTGTGACATTGGCAAGTGCCAGCCTTATAAAAGTGTTGTGTAGGACTCCTTGAAGTCCTGCAGCTGTTTCTGCGTCTGAGTGTTACACAAAGGTCACTTTTGTAGGATATTGCATATGTGGGAACTTTTCTGCAGATGCATTAAAAAGGCTTTTAGCGATGGGTTTATTTACTGTCAGGTATGAAGTGTATTACAGTTAAGAATTCAGGATGACTTTAGATAATCTTTGAAATAATGTTTGATCTGAATTCTATCTCCTTGATAAGAAACACAATGGATGACCAGTTTAATAACTGAGTCTAAAAACTTCAAGGCTTATTTTTCTGTCCTTCTTTTATAGATTAGATGAACACTTTTAATATGAAAGCCAAAATGGCTCAAGTAACATTTTTCCTGATAATATGTGTAGTATAATGATGTAAGATACGCAGGTAGTAGCCTATGCTACCTGTTCAGTTTGTTCTGATGAGGAAAAAGGCATTAGCTGTTGTTTTGGTTTTGTGGGGGTTTTGTGATTTGGTTTTTTAAAATTATCTACTACATACATATAATCGTCAACTTTGTATTCCAGCTATTTAATGTATCTATTTATTCCTATATATTCTTCATCTAATACTCCCTCAGGATTCATGCCAGACATRGTATCTAGTTCATTGTGTCAYCCTGCTTATTCTAAGACATCTTTGKAAATCTTTCCCATTAAAAATGTTATTTAAAATTAACAACAAGAAAGAGARGGCCTCCTGAGTCAACTCTTTGAGGGCTCTTCAGGGGAGACTACCATAGTCTGTGGATTTTTTAGAACATTCATCTTAGAATGAATGTTTTGTAGCTTAGCTGTTTTGTAACCTCCCATACCCTGAGTACCTCTTTATACTCATGTCATGTAAACTATCAATGAGCTTCTTTCCAAAAATAGAACAGAAATATTTATGTGATGATTCTCTCTTTCTATATCTATWAATACTTTTAGCCCTTTTGGTTGTAATGGATTATACCATGATAGCTATTTTTCTAGTCTCTGCAGAGACACAAGTCCTATCTCTAACATCAGAACCTGTACCAGTGAAGTTAGAAACAAGTTAAAGGGCTGTAAGGGAAAGTTACCCTTCAGTGATTATGAAAAGCTAATCAAAATCCTATGAAAAATTATTATAGGCATTTAAAACATAGTACATTTTTGCTGGAATTTCTTGACCCATGCACTCAGCTACACTACTGTCTCTTCTCCTTTTCAATTATTCTCCTCTTTTACTTGCTGTATATCTCTTCTTCCACAGAGATAACAGATCTATGAGGGCCTGACCTTCACCTTTGCAAAGGAAATTAAATTGGCAATTAAAAGTCATTTTAAAGAGCAGAAACCTGTGGAAACTAACTGTCAGTGTACTGTTTTCTTCATTAAAACWAACAGTTTTTTACTATCTGCAAAATTGCTTATGGAATGTGTTTAAATAGAGGACAGTCTTGAATCTTACGCTGGGCCACAGTTTAGTTGTCATTTGTAATAATACTGGGTGCAGCAGCAGCATTGAGACTTCCCATCTACAGTAAATTACYTTTTGTCTGGCTTGGTCAGACCAGCTGCTCACTTTTAGGATTTCACAGGTGTCTGAGCAGGCAATTAGATCCAGAYTGGAGTTTTATACTATAATGGAAATAAAGTTTTCTTTTAAATTTGGTTAATATTGCTGATAAAATGAAGAGATACTTCATGCTCAAAYATAAACCATCTGTGCAGGGTGTATGACAGCCTTTTCATAAAACCAGAAGGTTTTACTGCATCTGTGATTCATCTAAAAGTAAATTAAAGTTGTAGAATGGRAAGATGAACACATTGCTGTGGGCTGAGGAGATTTGATTTTAGGACAATCAAAGCAATTGCCTCTGGTTCTGGGTTATGAGGACCTGAACAAGACTGAGTTAGGTAACTGTTCTGGTTAATAAGAGCCATATTCAGATGGCCTAAATTCTACCTAAATCCAGACCAACACACCAGAGCTAAAGAGGGATGCAATGAAGCTAGATAGTCATTAGGAAAATGGGTGGAGGCAGTATTCAAACTGTCCAGGTATTGCCTCTGTCATGTGGGTCAAAAAGAGGGGTCACATTTGCCTCTGCCCATGGCACCCAACACTTCCTGCCAGCTGTCTACAAGTTCCCCTTTGTGGTGGAATGCTTTGGATTTTGGGCTGGGTCAAAATTGTTGTATCTTGCTATGTTATAACACAGCAGAAAGGCTTGTTAGGTTATCTTTAAAGAAAAGATAAAATATCAGTCCTCTGGCATTTAATTCCWGGAAAATCATCCTTCTGGGAAAGCAGAAGTATCTGTTTCAGTGAGGTTTAATGGATAGAAATAATACTGTTACAAAAAGGAGATTTAGATAAAGTCTCCAGCTTCAGCAAGTTTGGTTCAAAAATAAGATCTCTTTGAGATAGATAGGTAAAATTCAGAATATTGTTGTTTTGAAGGGGAGATATGAGTGTTCTTTATTTACATTTCGATCACATTTCAAACTGGCAGGTTGTGGAGATGGTGCCTTGCTGTCTCTTGCTAAGCAGAGTTCTACATGTCACTTGGCATCTGAATTTCACCTCCCTCCAAGCATTTTCTTTTTATTAAATGAAAGAGTTGATAAACATGGGTTAGTCTTTTAGGCTTTTTTTTTTCATTCAAAAATAAGGAAAAACCTGTCTTTGGACTGCTTTCGTGTTTCAGGATACAAGCTTGGAGTGAGTCCAAAAACCCTTTTCCACAAGTGGCTTCATATCAATCAGACTTCAGATGCTGAGTATCAGAGGTACCTTTGAGAATGTTACCCTGCTTTTCCATCAGAAATTGTAGAATAATTAAGTTTCCCAAAAGTATCCATCTAGTTTGGGTACATGGGCACGCATTGTGCTTCAAACTCAAGATGTTAAGATGAATTTTTTTTTTTTAATATATCTTGATACTTTGTGTAATGGGAAAGGGAAAAGAACAGAGCACTCTGGGAGACTCTCCTGATTCTTAATCTTAGAGGATTTTTACTG